TTTTGGTTGGGTTTAATTTTTTTTTTTTTTTTTTTTTTCTCAGAGTGCTATCCATACGCCTAGGAGCACATTATTATTATTATTATTATTATTATTATTATTATTTATTTTTTTATTTTTTATTATTATTATTTTTTAAATTATTGACACACTAGTTACTACATGAAAAGAACAACAGTGCGATGGGACCAAACGTTTTTGTTACAACTTGATCAATCATTTTCGGATTGTAAGATTTTCCTTGGTAGTGCAAAACTAGAGTAACGATTTATTTACTAAAACATAAAATCCATTTTGTAATTGATCATGACATTATCAATGCTACCGATTACATGAAAAGAATATCAAATTGCCTCTCATCCACGTAGAGGCTATTGCACAATAGACATGATAATTTAATCAGTACATTTTTTTTTTCAATGTTGTTGCGCCTTATAATCGAGAAGACAATCCCACTCATTGCATGGCATTTCCGTATTAGTCAAAAGGGTCGAAAAAATAGCTTTTGGATCTTAAAAGTTCATTTTGACATTTCAAAAGCAGTGCGAAAGGGCCCTTCATATCATAGATAGATCCAAAAATTACCACGATAAATCATGATTGTATACAGCTTTATTTAGACAGATAAATTAGAATTAAAAACAACTACAATTAAAAAATCTTAAAACGCCCGTTTGTTCCATATTTTTGTCCATTTTTAGAGATTATTTGCCTGTTGGATAGAGCAGTCCAATTTCAATTGATTGAAGATTCCGACAACAAAGGACATTTACATGTGAATTTTGAAAAATCTACTTTATGTTTTTCCTTTTTACCCCATGTCTCCAACCACTCATTATTCTCTTTAATTTTCCCACACCAACCAGTCCAACATCCATTTCCACCAACTCAATTGGGCCCCACTCCATTATTTGCAAGCTACCCGTTTACTTCTACTCCCAAAGTGTAATGAATATACATTTTCACCATTTTGCAAATGTAGAGTGCCATCCATACACCAAAGCACACATTACTTTTTACTTTTAATTATTGATACACTAGTTACTACATGAAAAGAACAACAAGCTACGGGAGCAATCGTTTTTGTTACAACTTGAATAATCATTTTTG